GACCCGGATTTCGGCGTCTCCCCTTTGCGCCTGGCCGCACCCACCCTGGCGGATATTCTGCATTCCCATCATGAAGGTCGCGGCAAGATCTTCTCCGTATCCATAAAGGACCGGGGAGCGGTGTTCATCGCCGGAAGACACGGCAAGGCCTTCTGGTACTCCAGAAGCAAGGGGGGCTTCGTGACCAACGCTTTCTACTATCCCGAAAGCGCTGAACCGGCCTGGCTTTCCGGCTACAACGAGTCGGCCTACAAGGACCTGCCGGCCGCATGGGACCTGCTGATGCCGCGCGATGCCTATCTGTACGAGGACGACCGGGACTATGAGCGGCCGCCGCGAGGCTGGACCCGGGTCTTCCCCCATACCTTTGCCGCGCAGGGAACGCCCGATTATTACGACCAGCTCCGCTATGCGCCGCAGGGCGACCGCATCACCCTGGGTCTGGCCCGGACCATTATCGACAACGAAGCGCTGGGACAGGACCGGGATCCTGATCTGCTCTCGGTCAGCCTGTCGGTTACGGACCGGATCGGCCATGCGTTCGGGCCCAACAGCCGCGAGTCCGAAGACAACCTTCACCGTCTGGACCTCCTGCTGAATGAGTTTCTGGGCTTTTTGGAAGACCGGGTGGGACGCGGCCGCTTCCTACTGGTGCTCAGTTCCGACCACGGGATGAGTCCGATCCCCGAGTACACGCCCGGCGCCGACCTCGAGGCGACGCGAATTTTTTCCGGACCCCTGATAGACGGCCTGAACCGGCAATTTCGTTCCACCCTGAACCTGGATGAAGACCTGGTGACAGGCATTGTGATGCCGTGGGCGTACTTCGATCTCTCGGTGATAGGAAAGCTCGAGCTCGATCTGGATTCCATCTACGACATCGCCACCGAGTGGCTGCAGGCCCGCCCCGAGATTGCCCGGACGGTAGCGGTTCCCCGCCTCGGCGACTGCCGCGAAGAGGAGTTGTGCCAAATGATTCGTAATGTCACATATGAAGGGCGCAGCGGAGAGATGTACGTGGTTGGATCGAGTAACAGTTTCGTCAGCCTGAATCCTCCCATTTACGCGGCGAGTCATGGATCACCCTATTTGCGCGACCGGCGGGTCCCGGTGCTGTTCTACGGGATGGCTCTCGAACCTCAGGTGGTGGAGCGGCCGATCACGCCACGCCACATTGCTCCCACTTTGGCTTCAGCGCTAGGCTTGCCGCATCAGGATAATTGGGAACAACCGCTGGGCGAAGTCGCCTCGGCAGGGAAAGGAGCGGAACGGCAATGCCCTACGATCGACAAGATCGCAGATGCGCTCGGCCCGCACTGCGGACGTTCTGGTGGCAGCGGGCGCCGCTGCGCTGGCGCGCAGAGAACAATGGAGCGAGGGCGTCTCGCCCTCGACGAGGGCGAGACGCCCTCGTTCCCAGGCTTGTTCCATGCAAGGGAGGGCATCCTGCCCTCCCTCGAGGGCGGGGACGCCCTCGTTCCCAGCGTTTTTTCCTGGGCGCCGCCGCCGGCGCCGCCGCGTTGCTGGCATGCGCGACCGGATGGGGCGCGGAGAACGTACAGGAACCGCCGTTCGAAGATAAGTTCCGCCAACTGGAGGAAATCCTTCCCACGCCCAACGCCTATCGCAACGCCGCCGGGCAGCCGGGGCGCGACTACTGGCAGCAGAAAGTGGACTACGCCATCGCGGTGACGCTGGACGAGGAACAGCAGCGCCTCTCCGGGACCCAGACGGTTACCTATCACAACAACTCTCCCGACACGCTCACCTACCTTTGGCTGCATCTGGATCAGAACCGTTTTCGTGACGACTCGATTGCCGAGTTGAGCCGCACATTCGATGCCAGCGGGCCGCAAGGCGAGGAAAACGGTACCACCGCGCAAATCAGCCTCGACCATCTCCGCCGGCTGCAATACATGGCCGACAAGGATCTGGGTTTTGAAATCCACTCGGTAACCGGGATGTCAGGCGAGCCGCTGCAATACGTGATCGTAGGCACGGTGATGCGCATCGACCTGCCCGGTCCTGTGGCGGCGGGAGAAAAAGTGCAATTCACGCTGGATTACGCTACACAACATGTCGACGGAGCGTTTTCGAGAGAAGAAGGCTCTCGCGGTGGCTTGAGACACTTTAGCAAAAAGTTTCCGGAGCGATGCGCGCGCACAGGCGGATATTACTGTTCGACCATAGCGCATACGTTGGTTCCAGGTTGGCGGCCGCCGTACACCGACTATGAGGGCTGGACCAACAAGGAGTTCCTGGGACGCGGCGAGTTCACGCTGGAATTCGGCGATTACGACGTGGCTATCACTTCGTGCTGCGCGGATCACTAGTATAACCGAATCGCACGTTAAACATTCGCGCGCAGCTACCGCGACTTGCAGAACGATGGAGTTTTGACGTATGCGAACAGATCTCGCGCCTCAAGCTGGCCGAAAACGCCGAGCGCCCGATTTTCGTCGTGACGCCCGACGAGGCTCGCGAGAACGAGCGCGAAGGCTCGCCGGATATTGCGACCTGGCGCTTCTCCGCCAGCAACGTGCGTGATTTCGCCTGGGCCTCGTCACGCAAGTTCATCTGGGACGCCAAGGGACTGCGTCAGCCCGGCGCGGAGCAGGAACTGGTCATGGCGATGTCGTTCTACCCCAGGGAAGGCGGCACGCTGTGGTCCGATTACTCCACAGAAGTGGTGATCCATGCGCTTGAGGTCTACAGCCGCTTTACTTTCGATTACCCCTATCCCACCGCCCAGTCGATAAGCGCCGGATTCCTGGGGGGCATGGAATATCCCATGATCACCTTCAACGGACCGCGCACCACCCTGCAGGAAGACGGCACTCGCACCTACTCGCTGGCGGAGAAGCGCTTCCTGGTCGGGGTGATCATCCATGAAGTGGGCCACTTCTACTTTCCCATGATCGTGAATTCCGACGAGCGCCAATGGACCTGGATGGACGAAGGGCTGAACAGCTACCTGGACGCCGTTGCCGGGCGGGAGTGGGACCCGGAATTAAGCTGGGCCGTGGAGCCCCGGGACATGACCGATTACATGCGGTCTACCGACCAGGTGCCAATCATGACCCAGTCGGACAGCCTGCTGCAATTCAGCGCGAACGCCTACGGCAAACCCACGGCGGCCTTGAACATCCTGCGCGAGACCATCTTGGGACGGGAGTTGTTCGACTTCGCGTTCAGGGAATACGCCCGCCGCTGGAAGTTCAAGCGGCCTACACCGGCTGATTTCTTCCGCACCATGGAAGAAGCTTCCGGCGTGGACCTGGACTGGTTCTGGCGCGGCTGGTTCTACACCACCGACCACGTGGATATCTCGCTGGAGCGGGTGTTTGAAATGCGCCTGGACACCGAAGACCCGGACGTGGACTTCGCCCGACTGCGGGAAACCAAGGCCGCCGAACCCCCCTCGGTTTTCGTTGAACGCAACCGCGCGGAAGGCAAACAGACCTGGGTTGAGAAAAACCGGGAGTTGCGCGACTTCTACGACGAAAACGATGAGTTCACCGTGACCAACGTGGAGCGCAATCGTTATATGGAATTCCTGGCGGGGCTTGAGAGTTGGGAGCGCACCGCGCTGGCACGGGCGATAGACGAAGACCGGAACTACTACATCCTGGAGTTCTCGAATCGCGGTGGCCTGGTAATGCCTGTCATTCTGCAACTGGAATACGAGGGCGGCGAAACAAAGGAGATCAGGCTGCCGGCCGAGTCCTGGCGGCGTTCGCCGCACAGCCTCAAGAAGCTGCTGGTGTCGGAGGACAAGATCACCGCCATCGTAGTGGATCCGCTGCAGGAAACCGCCGACACCGATATCGAGAACAACTATTACCCGCGGCGCATCATTCCGTCCCGTATCGACAGCTACAAGTCCCCGGAAGGCACCGATCTGGACGATCGCGACATCATGCACAACGTCAAGACCGAACGGAAGGAAGACAGCGGAGGCAATGAGTAAGGTCGTTTGGAACGAGGGCAGCTTGCCCTCGCTTGCATGGAACAACCCTGGGAGCGAGGGCGTCCCCGCCCTCAACGAGGGCGAGACGCCCTCGCTCCCAGCGTGTTCCCTGCGCGCCAGCGCAGCGGCGCCCGCTGCGAAAACTCCCAGGGAGGGGAGCGATCAACCGCGCCGGGCCTTGCGCCCCACCAGGAGTGTGTTGGGGATGTCCCGCCATGCACAGCGGGCCTCGAATCCAGCCCGGATCAGGGCGTCAAGTTCCGCCTCAAGGGGAAAATAAGTGTCCTCGCCTGCCCACTCCTCGAAGTGCTCGTAGGCGCGGGTTTCATTGATGCCGCAGGAAACCAGGTGAGCCGCCCAGGTGGCGTAATCCTCGGTTCGCTGCGGATCGGCCGCAGGCATGGTTACGTCGGCGTTGACCAGCACCCCGCCGGGCGCCAGAGTCTTGCAAATTCGCCGGTACAGCTCGGCCTTGTTCTCCATTACCGGCACATGATGCAGCGCCAATGACGCTGCCGCCGCGTCACAGCCCGGCAGGGAATCGTGAAACGATTGCCGCCGAAAACGCGCCCTTCGCCCAAAGCGCTTGAGCCTGACCCGGGCTTGGGCCAGCATTTCGGCATCCACATCCAGCAGTTCGACGATTGCCCTTGCGTTACGCTCCAGTATCGCCTCGGCCAACGCGCCGGTTCCGGCGCCAAGGTCCAGAACGTGCTCCGCGTTTACGCCGGCGATCTCATCCGCCGCCCGCTTCAGAACCTGTTCGTAGCCCGGAATGAATTTTCGAATCGTTTGATCGTAGGCCTCGATTTCCAGCCGAAGGTGCTGCCTGACGGAATGACTCATGCCTGGGTTTGCCTGAATTGTTGCTTGGCTGTTTGAAACAGTGATGCCTGCGTCCTTCGCCCGGCGCCGAGCCCGATCGTAATACTACGAGATTGCGCTCGGAGGGAAGGCAAGACCGTGTGTTCGGCGTCTGAGGGTATTCTAGGACCTGCTCGGGAGGAAACGGCAGGTGGCTGTTCAGGACATCATCGATCACAACGGCTATCGGCGAGGGGTCGGCATCGTTGTTTGTGACGACCAAGGCAGGCTTCTGCTGGCCCGTCGCCGCGATCACCGCGGCTGGCAATTTCCTCAGGGCGGCGTCCGGCAGGGCGAACCACCGCGGGAAGCGATGTACAGGGAACTCAAGGAAGAACTGGGCCTGGATCCTTCTGATGTCCGGGAAGTGGCGCGAATGGGGAGCTGGGTAAGCTACAAGTTACCGGCGCGCCACCGCCGCGCGAGCTCACCCCGTTGTATAGGGCAAAAGCAACTCTGGTGGCTGTTGCGCCTGTGCTCAAGCGAGGAGAGTATTCGTCTCGAACAATCCGAGAAGCCCGAGTTCGACGACTGGCAATGGGTCGATTACTGGCTTCCCCTGGAGAAGGTCGTGCTCTTCAAGCGAGAGGTTTACAGCCAGGTGCTGAGCGAGTTTCAGAACAGTGCCGGTCTGCGCGTGGCGGGCAAATTACGGTAAAGTAAGGGCACTTTAGTCAATTCGGGAGCCGTGTGTGCTCGGCCGAAACAAGATTCTGGTTTGGCGCGGACGCTACTCCGCGGTGCTGATTGTTTTTGTCGCGGCCGCATTTGTCGGCGGCGGAGCAGGCGGATGGTGGCTTCAAAGCGACCTCACGCAGGAAAAAACCATTTCAATGCAGGCACGAATCGAGAGTCTTGAGTTGCGCAACCGCGAACTCAGCCAACTCATCGATGAAGAGACAGTAGACGCCTTGAGGTCACAGGTACGGGATCTGCAGGGTCAGGTCATGAACCAGCGGATGACGATCTACGGGCTTCAGGAGATAATCACACCCCAGGAAGCGCGGGCGGGGTTGAGAATCCACTCGGTCAGCATTGAACCGCAACAGGAAGCCCGGGCCTACAGACTGACAGTGGGGCTCACGCAAGCGCTGCTGGCAAAATCGGATCGCGCACGCGGTCATGTGGAATTGCTCCTGGCGGGCACCAGGGATGGAGACGGGGCGGAACTGAAGCTGGGCGAGCTCAGCAAGAGAAAAGCAAGCCGCATAGAATTCAATTTTGAAAGCAGTACGGAACTACGGGCGGACCTGACCTTGCCACAGAGCTTCGAAGCCAGCAAAATCCGGGTACGGGTAACACCCGTCCCGGAACAGCAATTCAGTTTTGAGCGTGAGTTTCCGTGGGCGCCATTGGCGCCAAAGACATGAAAAACCGACTTACCAACTCCGTAACCACCCTGGTTGGATCGGACGCCATCGTTACCGGCAACCTCACATTCAGGCAAGGTTGCCATGTGGCGGGCGTTGTCAAGGGCGACGTGATGGCCGCCAGCGGCAAGAAAACCGAGCTCACCGTGGCGCAAGGCGGTCGCATCGAAGGCAATGCCCAGGCTGCCCGCATGCTCATCCAGGGCACTGTCGTGGGAGACTTGTGCTGCAGCGGGACGGTATCGCTTGCTTCCGCAGCACGCGTGCGGGGATCCATTGAGTACGGAGAGATTGAAATTGAGAAAGGCGCGGTCATGAAGGGCAGCCTTACCATGCTTTCGGCAACAGCCGGAAAAACCGCGGCGGTGAGTTCCTCGCACCGCGCGCTGTCTGAAACCGGGGAAAAAGTTCAACCCGTGGTCGGCTGAGTAACAGATATGGAACCGCAATACGACGCACAAGAACCCGACAGCGCGCCTTTGGTGTTTACCGAGGCCGCGGCCCGTAAAGTCGGGGAACTCCTGAAGGAAGAAGAAAACCCCGCGCTGATGCTGCGGGTCTACATTTCCGGCGGCGGCTGTTCCGGCTTTCAGTACGGTTTCACTTTCGACGAGACGCGGGAAGAAGGCGACGCCTCGGTGAAACAACTGGGCGTCACGCTGCTGGTAGACCCAACCAGCCTGCAATACCTGGAAGGCGCGGAGATCGACTTCAAGGACGACTTAAGCGGTGCCCGCTTCGTGATCCGCAACCCAAACGCGCAAAGCACCTGCGGGTGCGGTTCAAGCTTTTCCGCCTGAACCACTGACCGGTGGGAACCTGTCCACGACTTTGGAGCCGCCGCCCGGTTCCAGAGTCCCGCTGAATGTGATGTCACCCGGTTAATGGCGCCTTTGCTGGCCAGCGCTTTGCTCTCACTGGCGCAGGGACCGTACAGCCCGGCCCTCGAGAACGACGCTCCCGCGGATGCACCGGTCTGGATCGCGGGTCAGGCGGTCAAGGAGCATTGGTTCACCGTTACCGCCAAATACCAGTGTCCGCCGGACACGGTAGGCGGGCTTCTTCTGGTTTCGATTTCCGACACCACGGTTCGGGCCGAATTCGGCGCCGATGATCGCGCCGGGCGACGTGTGCTTTCGCTGCAGGTGCCCAGTGGGCAATTGCGGGGGCTGAGGCCCGAATTGTTCTGCCCCGCACCCGAGGAAAACCCCGGCCCGGTCATGCGTCTCAAGTCAAGGTTCATCGCGCAAGGCGCCCTGGTATGCCGAAACGCTAACGACAGGAAAACGTCCGCCCAGACTTCAGTTGCGTTGGACGCCTGGGTACGCTGTCCACCCATCCCCGCCCTCAACCCCGGGAACGAGGGCGTCCCGCCCTCGACGAGGGCGGGACGCCCTCGTTCCCAGCTTTCGAACTAGCGGAGGCGGTCCTGCAATTCGGCCAGGGCGTTTGATCCGGGGCAAAGGCGCTCGTGTTGCAGTGTCGACAGCGGGGTCTCGCCCAGGCGACTGAGTTCGTGCATGTCCGCCCCGCCTTCCTGCATGAAAAGGAGACCCGTCACCACTTCGCCCTTGCCCTGCCGCCGACTGAGATAGTGGTAGGCCGCTCCCCGGTCGCTCAGGTCGTATTCCTTCGCCAGCTTGCGCAGCAGAATACTCTCGCCGCCGTGCAAGTCCACCCGGTGGGCTTCCCCCACGCCAATCTCAGCCTTGATCTCCACCTCCGGGGGTATAAAGTCCGTGTGGCCTATCGGATAGGCGTTTTCACGCGTGAAACGGTAACTCTTGGTCGAACCTTCGTGATCGTTGAAGGTTACGCAGGGTGAAATAACGTCGATCATCGCGAATCCGCGGTGCGACAATCCTGCCTTGAGCAAGGGCACCAGTTGAGCCCGGTCTCCGGAGAATCCGCGCGCCACGAACCTGCATCCCGAGGCGATGGCCAACAGGCAGGGGTCGATAGCGGGCTGCTCATTGACTTCACCGCGCTTGGCCGTACTGCCGGCGTCCGCCGAGGCCGAGAACTGTCCCTTGGTAAGGCCGTACACACCGTTATCCTCAATCAGGTACAGCATGTTGAGATTGCGCCGCATGGCGTGCACGAATTGGCCGATGCCGATCGAGAGCGAGTCTCCGTCACCGGAAATCCCGATGTACTGCAGCTGGCCGTTTACCGCCGCCGCGCCGGTCGATACGGAGGGCATGCGCCCGTGGACCGAATTGAACCCGTGCGAAGACGAGGCAAAGTAGGCAGGCGTCTTGGAAGAACAGCCGATTCCGCTGAGTTTCGCCATTCCGTGAGGCGGGATCGAGAGTTCGAACGCCGCCTGAATCAGGGCGCCGGTGATCGAGTCGTGCCCGCAGCCGGCGCATAGCGTGGACATGCCGCCCACGTAATCGCGCATCGTCAGGCCCAGATCGTTGCGGGCCAAAGCGGGATGGGTGACCTTGGGTCTGGTGATGTAACTCATTGGGAGTACCTCATGCCGCCTGGTCCCTGAGCATGTCCGCTTCCACCGCGCTCACCACGGAGGTGGCGGGAATCGGCATGCCGTTGTAATGGAGCACTTCAACCAACTGCTCCGCGCGGCCGCCGGCCTCGTTGATCAGGAGAGCACGAAGCTGGGCGTCGCGATTCTGTTCCACCACGTAAATGCGCTTATGGTTGCTCAAGAAATTCTCGACTTCCTCTCCGAACGGAAAAGCACGGATTTTCATGTAATTCAGCGCCACGCCGCGGCCGGCCAGTATATCCAGCGCTTCCCGGCACGCGGCGTCGCCGGTACCCAGGCTGATCATTCCGGCCTGGGCGCCCGGAGTAACATTCAATTCGGGACGCGGCACGACCGTGGCGGCATGATCCCATTTCCTGCGCAGCCGGTCCATGACCTCCTGGTACTCGCCTGCGTTTTCGGTGTAGCCACCATACATGTTGTGGCCCGAGCCGCGCGTGAAGAAAGCCCCTTTGGGATGCTCGCCGGGCAGAGTGCGGTAAGTAACCCCGTCCCCGTCAACATCGAGATAGCGGTAAAACGCCTCCATTTTCTCGAGTTCTTCGGCGTGCAGCACCTTTCCACGGTCCGGCCGGTAGCTGTCGTCCCAGGTGAACTTCTCGCTCATCCAGTCGTTCATTCCCAGGTCCAGGTCCGATAGGACGATCACGGGAGTCTGCAGACTCTCGGCCAGGTCAAAGGCCGTCGCCGACAACTCAAAGCACTCCTTGGGGCTGGACGGGAACAACAACACATGGCGGGTATCGCCATGCGAAGCGTAGGCGCAGGACAGGATGTCGCCCTGCTGGGTCCGGGTGGGCATTCCGGTAGAGGGACCGACCCGCTGCACGTCGAACAGAACCGCGGGGATTTCAGCGAAGTACGCGTAGCCCAGAAACTCGGACATCAGCGAAATGCCGGGGCCCGATGTGGGAGTGAAGGCACGCGCGCCGTTCCAGCCGGCGCCCAGCACCATTCCGATCGCCGCCAGCTCATCCTCGGCCTGAATCACGCAATAGTCGCGCGTGCCGTCTTCGGCGGTGCGAAACCGCCCGCAAAAGCTGCGAAAAGCATCCATCAATGAAGTGGAGGGCGTTATCGGGTACCAGGCCCCGAATGTCGCCCCTGCATACACACAGCCGAGAGCCGCCCGCGGTGTTGCCGTCGATGATGATATTCGAGCCCGGTCCTTCCATGGAACGCGCTACGAATGGAAGCGGGCAGTTGAGGTGCTCCCGAGCGTAGTCGTAGCCGAGGCTGATGGCAATCTGATTGGCTTCCAGCAGCGGCTTCTTGCGGGCAAAGGTTTGCAGCAGCAGTTCCCGGATTATGTCCAGATCGAGTTCCAGTAGCGCCGCCAGCACACCGACGTAGGCGATATTCTTCATCAGGATGCGGGCCCGGGCGTTGTCGAAACTCTCGTTGCACATGCGCGCCAGCGGAACACCCAGGATGTGCACGTCCTCTCGCCTGAGCACGTCGCGGCGCGGCCAGGTGGAATCGTAGAGCAGGTATCCGGCGGACGACATTTCGCGAAGATCCCGCTGGTAGGTCTCCGCGTTCATGGCCACGGCAATATCCACGCTTCCCGAGCGCGCCAGGTATCCGCGGTGGCTGGCGCGAACTTCGTACCAGGTCGGCAGACCCTGGATGTTGGAGGGAAAGAAGTTCTTGCCCGCCACCGGAATACCCATCCGGAACAGGGTCTTCATCAGCAACGAATTGGCGCTGGCGGAGCCGGTGCCGTTTACGTTGGCGATGCGTATCGTGAAATCGTTATCTGCCGGCATGAGCCATGGCGATCAGGCCGCTGAGCGCACCGTCGAACCTACCGCTTCCGACGATATCTTGCGCCCATCCGTGGACCCACTGGGGGGGATTCCGTCAGCCTCATGGAGCGCATACGGTGTAAGCAATTCGAACTTCTGCATGTCCCAGGCCGCAGTCGGGCAGCGCTCCGCGCAAAGGCCACAGTGTACGCAAAGGTCCTCGTCCTTGATCATTACCCTGCCCGTCTGGGGTAGTTCGGCGGACACGTACAGCGGTTGGTCCAGGTTGTTCGCCGGGGCGGTCAGCCGCTCGCGCAGATCGGCCTCTTCGCCGTTCGGCGCAATCGTCAGGCAGTGCACCGGGCAAATGTCCACGCAGGCGTCGCATTCGATGCACAGCGGCGCCTCGAATACGGTTTGAATATCGCAATTCAGGCAGCGCTGCGCCTCGCGGGCGGCCTGTTCCGGCGTGAACCCCAGCTCCACCTCGATGTCGAGCTTGCGGAAACGTTTTTCCAGGCTCATGTGCTGCATCGGCCTGCGAGCGGCAGTCTCGTAGTCGTTGGAGTAGCTCCACTCGTGAATTCCCATCTTCGACGCCAGCAGGTTCATGCCCGGCGGCATGCGCTCGGTAATCGACTCGCCGTGGCAATGCTTGTGAATGGATATGGCCGCCTGGTGACCATGTTCGACCGCCCAGATGATGTTCTCCGGGCCAAAGGCCGCATCGCCGCCGAAGAAGACCCCTTCGCGGGTGCATTGATAGGTGACCCGATCGACTACCGGGACGCCCCAACGATCGAACTCGATGCCGATATCCCGTTCCACCCAGGGGAAGGCGTTTTCCTGGCCGATCGCCAGAATCACCTCGTCGCAGGGGAAGAATTCCTCGCCGGTTACCCGGCTGTTGGCGATCTTTCCCGATGAGTCGATTTCGTATTCCATCAGCTCAAAGATCATGCCCTTGAGCCGGCCGGCCTCGACAACGAATTCCTTCGGAGAGTGGTTTACGACAATTTCCACGCGCTCCTCTTCGGCGTCCTCCAGCTCCCAGTCGGAAGCCTTGAAGAAGCCGCGCGGCTTGCGCGCCATCACCTTGACGTCGCGCGCTCCCAGGCGCAGCGACGTGCGGCAGCAATCCATGGCAGTGTTGCCCACGCCGATGATCAGTACCCGTTCGCCAATCGAATTGAGATGGCCGAAGGACACGCTTTCCAGCCACTCGATACCGATATGGATGGATTTGGTGACGTGACGGCCCGGCAGGTTCAATTCCTTGCCCTTGGGCGCACCGGTTCCCACAAACACCGCGTCATAACCGCCGTTGTCCAAGAGCTCGCGCATGCTTTCGACGCCCTGCCCCAGCCGCAGGTCGATATCCATGCGCAGAATCTGATCCATCTCCTCATCCAGAACGTCGACCGGCAATCGAAACGCCGGAATGTTGGTGCGCATCAGGCCGCCCGGCTTGTCCAGGGTTTCGTAAATCACCAGTTCGTAGCCCAGCGGAGCAAGGTCGTTGGCCACGGTCAGCGAAGCACAGCCGGCGCCGATCAGCGCTACGCGCTTGCCGTTTTTCTGCTTGGCTGCTTTGGGAAGGCGGTGATCGATGTCGCCGCGCAAGTCCGCCGCCACCCGCTTGAGCCGGCAAATGGCTACCGGTTTCTCCTCAACGCGGACCCGCCGGCAGGCCGGTTCGCAGGGACGGTCGCAAACTCGTCCGAGTATCGCCGGGAACACGTTCGACTCGCGGTTGAGCATGTAGGCATCCGCGTAGCGCCCCTGGGCGATCAACCGGATGTACTCGGGAATATCAGTATGCGCGGGGCAGCCCCACTGACAATCGACTACACGATGGAAATAATCAGGATTACGTATGTCGGTGGCCTGCATGGAAGCCCCGCGAGATGACCGGCCGGATGCTCGAAGAGGGAAATTTACAGTTGC